CCGTTTTGCAATTGCTTAAAACTTGCACTTTATTAAAATTTAATGGGCTACAAAACTGCATACTCAACGAAATTCTAAAAATTAATTAAAAAATTTGTAAATTTGTAATGTACTCATTTTACTCAAATTTGGTGTAAAAAAAATTCATAACTCAAATTATTGTAGAGTGCACCCCGTAATACTATACTTAAATATTGCGCAATACTCAGAGCTACCATTGTTTTTTTTTTATTTTTTTTTTTGAGTTGGCATATTTTCAAAAACTATTTTTTTTTATCAATAGATAAATTTGTATGTGAAAAATGCTCCGAAAAAAAAATTGATGTGTATATGTGTGATTTTTTTCAAATTTTTTCCTCGCCCCGTTCTCGAGATATTTGGAAAATTATTAAATCGATTTGTTTTTGTTTTTGCGCTGTAAAGTTTTCAAAAATGTATTAATCAAGCTCAAATTTCATATTTATTTATTATTTATGTTTGTCCATCAACCCTAAAAATTTTAAACAAATCAAACATATGAAGTGTGAACCCCGTTCATTTTGGTATGGAACGCCCGACATACAGAAATATTTGAATGCTTTGATTACTTATTTTTAATCGGCCTATAATGGTTTCCGCTTTACACCGCCCAAACGTCAAAATAGTGTGGAAGCAACTCTTTCCAACATTTATCTTCCATAACTATATATATGTATAACTTATTAAGCTTGCTGTAGTCACAAAAGACTCACTTTTTTGAGTTATCACTCTCAGCGACAGCGCCTTGGCACGCAATGTTTTCCTTTTTAATTAAGTGTCAACTCGGCCAGGTATGTACATACATACTTTTATATGTATGTAAATACTCCCATGTACTTGCATGTAAGTGTGCGTGTTTAACATGGCAATTAAAATGCGTGCACTTATCGGCAAAAGGCAATCAGTGAAACGTGGAGTAAAATCTTGAAATGCAAAAAAGAGCCAAAAAAAAAAGAAAAATTTTACCAGAAATGTTTAACAATTCGAAAATATGCCAACTGACTGCATAAACGGTAACACCCGAAAGCCACAAAAATTGTAAAAAAAAAAAATCACGTTTTCTATCAGTTCATTTGCCAGTGATTACTTTGCGATCACGCTGTTCGCATTTTTATTTGTATCGCGTTTATATATTTTCGACAAGCAAATTCGTAAAGCACATTTTGAGCTTTTTACATAGCAGTCAACGGAAAAAATTTAACTGATTTACATAATTCCCACTCCTCATATTGAGCTTTTTTGTTCTGTTTTTTTTTTTTGCCAATGCCCACTTTAAGTTAATTTTTTACATTCGGCTTTTCTGCGTTATTTATAGCTTCATTGCAAGCGTCACTGAGCGGACCGCGATACATTCGCTAAAGATAAGCAATAAAATTAAATTGATACGGATCTTGAGGTGTGATGGAAAGGCACAGCACAGAAGCAACGTAATCGACAGGTAGTCAGTCAGTCATTCAGTCACTCAGTCATTTAGTCATTATTGCTGTTGCACTACATCTTTTTTCTTCGACTGGTGACAATTTGACGCTGTTTGCTTTATCAGAAGCGGTCGTCGGCGCATGCGCACTACAGTTATTTAGTTAACTGACATTTCACTGGTATTTTTACAGAGGCTTTAGGAATGTAAAAAAAATTATCAAATTAAATGAAAAGTTTTCATTTTTAATGCGTTGCAAGTTTGTAGTTAAAACCTTAAAATATGCGGTTTCAGATTAACTTCGAGCAGTATTTTAAAAATTAGATTAATTTATTTGTATACCTCGACACACTTTCTTTTATTACTGTCGTTCAAACTTTACTCTAGTTAAAATATTGATATGAAAGAAAAATTACAGCTCACTTAGTCAACATACATAGGTTGAGTGAAATGGTGTTGTATCTGGTCAGGCGTTAAATATTTTTAACGATTTGTTAAAAAAAAAACTCTTATTCAGCGTTGTTGATGGGCAGCCGAGCTTTTTAAGCTTTCTATAAATTTTGTTTGGACATCCAAAGGTTAAAAGCCCTCTCCACCCATTACTAGCCTACTTACACCAGTGATGCTGCAAAGAGTGGTCAAAACTTTATACATTTCCAATGGTTGTGCACATGGTAAAATCTTTCACCGATCGCCACTGCTGTTATCTGACGACAATCAGGGCTCTTGGCTTTTTGATTCAAGGTTCGGAAATGGACAGGGTATGCTTGACTGCTCTCTCAATCACATTGGATTACATCGCTTTTAAGCTTATTTGGACTCCAGGTACGGTCGCTTCTGTCTGTATGTGGTCTTCTTCTGTACAGACAGATGTTTAGATTGCTTAGCTACCGAGCGAAAACTTTGAAATGCAAGGCTATTAGTTAATCGCCGGCAGTCAAGGGAGCTAAACAAATTAATCAACGTTTCTCGTTACTCTGATGGTAGTTTCAACCAGTCATTGTTCGATCCAAATCCATGGGTTCAAAATCATCGCAAACTCGAACTGCAGCAGCGGGATAGAGTAGATAAGGTGGAGTCAACTCAACACCTGCGAATCAGCTGCCTAGTTCTCACAAGCTTAAGGATTGGTTTAGGTCTCACTTCCTTCTTAGCCTCGCAAAGCTTTCGGGATTGAAGATTAGCCGCTTACAGAGATTTGTTGTTTAAACGCAGCGTTTCTCTGCTACAAACCGTTAGGCGTCACTAGTTTACCAAGCCGTTCTCCTTTTCCATTATATTTTCTCTCTCCATATTAATAGTTACACAGGGCAGTTAATTTACTAGTCCATCAGGGCAATTCTGGCCAAGATAGTTGAAAGTCTGTTATGAACTGCCTATATAGTTTGCAAGATTTTGTTTCTGACACGAAAGTCTCTCCATCAAAGCTTCTGCTCCAGCAGTCGCTATGGCCGAGTGTGCAAAGCACTGGCATACTATTCGAAATCCGAGGTCGAATCCTCGCACAGCGGATCTTTTTAATTTTTGTTATTAAGTTTTCTTTTAAGTTTTAAATATTGTGGTTTTAAAAAGAAAAATGTTTGTGTATTTTTTTAATTTTTCGAAACTTAATTTATACTTTTCTTTTTTAATATAATTTTATGATTTTATTAATTTAGATTTTTTTAATATAATTTACTTTTTTCATTTTTTATTGAATTTTCTTTTAGTTTTTAGATTTTATTATTTTTAACTTTTTCTTTAATTTTGTATAATTTTCAGGAAATTAGTTTATATATCAATATTATAATATTATAATATATCAATATTTTTTTTCTTTTTTACTTAATATAATTTTAATTTTTGGATTATGTTATTTTAAAAATTATTATTTTCTAATTAATTTTCTTTTTATTTTTATATTTTACTGTTCTAAATTTCTAATTAATTTAGTATTTAGAAACATATTTTATAATCAGTTTATTCTATTTTTAAATTTTCTTTAAAAGTTTCGATTTTATAATTAAAAAACAAGTTATACATATGTGCATATATGTAAATTTTTTAGTTTATTTTTATTTTTGAAACTTGTTATATTTTTTTAATCTTACTTTTAGATGTTATTGTTTTAAAATATTTTTTTTCACTTCAATTAAGTGTTAACTTTTCCCCGTTTTTTAGATATTTTTAATATAAAAATAAATATTTAGATTTTATTGTTTTAAAAGATTTTTAATCGAATTTATCTTTTAGAAACATTTTATTTTCTTTTTAAACTCATTTGTTTCTTTTTAAATTTAATTTTCATTTAATTTTTAAACTTTTTTGTTTAAACAGCTATCTTTTTCTTTAAATTCGTATAACTTTTAGGAAATTATTTTATTGTGGTCGTGTGTAATTTATTTTTTTCCTTTTTACTTTATCTTAATTTAAATTTTTATATAATAGTATAAAGAAAAATATTTTTTTAATTCATTTAATTTTTAGAAACTTTAATTATTACCAGTTTAATTTAATTTTCTTTTATATATTTGGTGTTATTGCTATAAAAAAGTGTGCATATATATATATATGTATATTAAGCTTTTTTAATTTTTGAAACTTATTTCTTTTTTTATTAATTTAATTTTTAGATTTTATTGTTTTAAATGCCTTTTCTAATTTTAGTTAACTTTTTTTAATACAATTTTTAGATCTTGTTTTAATAGATTTTCCTTTAATTTTTCACTTTTGTCTTTTTAAAAAGGAGAATCTATTTATTTTGTAACACGAACGACAGAACGCTGCGCTCATAAAATGCATATGTGTACATAAAACTCACAGTTACATTCACAATATGTACGATAAGTATGTAAATTTGCGTTTATCTTTCAAACTATTCGTACACCCAAAACACTTCAGCGACATCGAATGTGTCCCAATTGGCGCACGCAGCAACGCATGTGACAATCATATAAGAGCAAATATACGCGCATGCGCTATATGCATGTACATGTTATCAACTTTCTTAAATAACAACAAAAAGAGAGAAACAGTTAACGCTGATTAAGTGATTATCTATGCCCATGCTCGAAAATAGAGTCGTCAAATGATCTCGAGAGTTCGAGTGCGCTTGTGTGGCATTTCTCTTTGTATTATATTTCTTCTGCCAGTGTAAATAAGTATATGAAATCAACAAAAATAATAATGAATCTATTCAGCGGGTTAACTAAAATTGATTTTTCATGCGATGTAGCGGCATATTTAAGTAGAAAGATTAATAGTGGAAGATAAGCGGTCAAAATGTCAAAGCTTGGCGATTTGCCTTTGAAGCATAGAAAAGAAAGCTTATGACTTTTCCTAACTCTTTGTAATTACTTTTATTAGACTTTTTTTTTTTTAAATAACGCGAATTAATTAAAATATACAATAATTTATTTATTATAGTAACTCATTACTATCATAGATATTACTATTAATTCTACAACACTAAAAAATATAAATCAATTAAAAATAAGTTCGTTACAATAAAAAATTAACTAAATTTATGAAATTTAAAATATTTAAAAAATTAAGTTAATACGTATTGCTCGACGCCCCTGCTAACTCACAGTTTTGTCACTTCCACATCGTTGCTCTTCTTCCGACTGAAGCAAGGGAAGTAATACCATTTTTCATCTCGACAGAAGTGCTCACCATCCAGTAGCGTCTCTGGTAATTTTCTGCAGAACAAAAAAAAAATAAACATTAAAATTTTAAACTTCCATTCAACAGTGCCCACTCACTGATTTAGCGTCTCCGGCAAGAGGAAGCACAATGCCGCGCCAATTAACATCAGCACTGCTATGACAATCGAAGGCAATGGCTTGAACACATTACTCAAGTAAATCAAATATGCGCTCAAGAAGCTGAATGCATAGCCGACCACATGTATATTGGCCACGCCACGCCCACGCACGCTTGTCGGTATAATTTCAGCGGCATATTGCGCCTCCGCTTCATAGGAGACAATGGCCACATAGCGTCCCAAGCCAATCATGCAGGCCACAAAGATGGCGTGCTCCTTCAAGTCGAGCAGTGCAACCAGTATGCCAGTGGCAGCGGTGACCAAACCGCCAAAGAAGAGCGACCCGCAGGCCATACCTTTACGCCCAATGCGATTTTGAAGTAAAATAATTGTCAAACCAGCTGGTATGTACACGAAAGATGTGAATGAGAAGAGCATAAAGGGCGACGAGCCGAAACCCTCCATATTGCGGCTGATAATATCGTAGGAGATGGTAACGATCATGCTGTGCGAAGAGAGAGAGAGAGAGATTAGGTACAGAAATATACAATTTCTCTCTGTTACTCACGATTTTATAAACAAAACTATGATGAACTTGCGTAATCTAGGCGTTCTAAACAGGCCCGTAAAGGTGTCCTTCTCTTCGTTTTCTTTATGCTCTTCCGCCATTTTTTCCTCATAGTGCGATATGAACTGATCGAATACCGACTCTTCAACTTGCTTCTTGTTGAATTTAGCCACTCGCTTGAGACAGCGCACCGCACCTTTGTAATCCCCTTTGGTTGCCAGCCACTGTGCGCTTTCGACTATAAAAAGTGGATAGAAGAGTACCAACAGCGCTGGCAATGAAGCAATCAGCAGGTACTTGCGCCAACTGCCCACCCATATGGCATACCAGGGAGACATTACCAGACCGAAGCAATAGAAAATTGCCATTATTATATTCAAGCCGAATGTACGCTTCTTGGGATCCAGGTACTCGAAGACTAGATGAATTGATTGAAGAATATATTTTAGTAAAATTTTTTAGAAGTTGACAAAATTATCAATCCACACACACCCATAATGTAACTGAGATAGAACAATGTATCGATGCTCATGCCTGAAATGAAACGACTCGCCGCAAAGGCATGTGGCGTCGTCACAAATGAGGTGATAAAATCGCCAGCAGCGCCGGTGAGCGTGCTCAGCATCATCGATGGCAGTCGTCCGATTTTATCTGCGAGGAAACCAAATAATATTGTGCCCAATACAGAGCCCACGTAGAGGAATGACTGACCGATTGCGCCCTTGACAGCATCGTCGCAAATCCATTTAAGCTGGTGAAGGAAAATAGAAAGAACTATAATAAATTTATGGTATGCTATTCTCACAGATGTGCGGGTTTAAGCACCAAATTTTTTTAAAAAATAGAAATCTGAATTAAAATATTTGTGTGGAAATGTGAGTGATTTCGTGAGTATGTTTGTTGCTCTTTCGCGCTAAAACTGCTGAACGAATTTCAACGAAATTTGGCACTCTAAACTGGCATATATCATATTTTTTGAAGAGAGCTGCCACCTTTTTTGAATGTTAAAACCAATCTATTTATTGGGTAAATAAAAATTACGATATCAAGACAATTTGTTTCGAAAATATTTTAGAAAAGGGTTGCCACTCTGCAAAAAGTTAAAAAAAATATATTTAACTAGCTTAATCAACAATTTTAATATAGGTTTCAGAGAAGAGAGTTTAAAAAATATTTATTTCGAAAATATTTTTTAAGTGTTGCCACCTTTTCTTAAATTCAAAGCCATGTAAATTGCCAAGGCAAATGAATTTTTTTTTCATATACATAGGTGTCAAATAAGAGAGCTTTAAGAAAACTTTACTTCAAACATATTTTTACAGCGGTTGCCACCTGTTTCAAAATTCCAAATCAGTTTAATTAACAATATTTTTATATGGGTATAAAACTAGAGAGTTTTAAGAAAGCTTCATTTTGAAAATATTTTTTCAGAGGGCTGCCACCTTTTTTTAAATTCAAAATAACTTTAATTACAAAATAATTTTAATTAAAAAAATAATTTCAATCATATTTTTTAATTTTGTTTAAAAATTATAAATTTGTTTAATTTTAAAGATAAAATCAATATTTGTATTTGGGTATCAAACTAGAGAGGTTAAAGAAAACGTGATTTAGAAAATATTTTTCAAGATGTTTACTACCAGTTTTTATGTATTTAACAATTTAAAAGAAATAATTTAATATGGCTCTCAAACGATAGAAGTTTAAGTAACCTTTTTTTCGAAAATAGTTTTGAAAAGGCTTGCAATCTCTTTAAAAAGTTAAAATCCCAAAGTACTTTTAAATCTACATACCTTTAAGCGAACTATTCAAATTATTATGTTTTTTATTATGCAAACTTAGTAAACTCATGCAATTTTACACAAACTCGAAATACAGAAGTAAACCATCCACACACTCAACAAATTCGAATTAATGTATTAAATGCCACTTACATCCGTTGTGACACTTTGATAGCCACTTTCATATTTAAATATCCAATCCTCGCATTCACCAAAATCTGCTGCAATCGGTGTGCCATTCACAATATCATCCAACAGGGTGCACGAAGGATTCTCGGTCTGTGAATAAATTTCACGAATTTCTGTGTAAGTGAGATTCTCAAGCAGCTCATGTTGACACCTGTTGAGAGAAATAAAATATTTGGAAGTGCTTTAAGGGGAAATTTCGACAACTAGTTATCTTAAATAAATTCATATTTTATGTGTATTTGTTTACAAAAATTTTGGCTTTGCTTAACTATTTATCGGTGTATAGTTTTGTAAATCCAAAATTATATCGACATTGGCCAAACTACAGCAAAAAAACCTGTGTAAAATATGCAAATTTATATATGTATTTCATTTATTAGCATAAAAATCAAATTGACACGATTCACAATTTTGCATAAAAGATTAGATTTCCAGTTGCCAGCTGGACTGGCAAAGGTAAAAGATTTTGTGTGTATTTTAACAGGGAATTGATAAAGTATATATGTAGGTAGTTACAAACTCTGTTACTAACCGAAAAAATTCCTTGTACGAAAAGATCCGTTTAAAATAGCATCAAATACATCTCTCCTCTTTCTTAGAACTGAAGGAAAATTTTATCAAACTGCAATCATAAATACATATCACTTGACAATGGCTGTTTATTCGAACAAAAAACAAATTTTTCTTCTTTCACTTTATATTGGGCAAGGAGCCAGGTTTTGCCTGATTAAATCTCTTTTAGCTTCTTATACTATCTTTCATCAAATCAAAACCCGACTATTTTAATTTACTTCGAAGCTCAAAAAACGCTATTTAAATGGACCAAAATAAAGAGCCAATTCTTTAGTTCTAACCTCACATTTGGATTTAGCACTTTTTCGTGAGGCAAAAGGTACTGTTCCCTTTTTCTACACCACAACTGTTTGTCGGTTTGGCCCGAGACTAAAGGATTTCGCCAATTGCCTTTTGCGAACATGTGTGAACACTTTGTCCTTTAATTGTATAACAATGCCAGGCCAAACGCATCTTTAATGACTCAGAAAAAATTAGCGTAACTTGGTTTGGAAGTTTTAATGCTTCTACGGCTTTCACTTCAATTGAACAGGGCAATTCTGGCTAATATAGTAAAAAGTTTTTCGAAAGATAAAGGAAAGACAGATGGCAAGATAGTTCGAAAGACTTTTGTAATTCAAGCACAAATTTTTATATTTTATTGTTTTAAAGAGAAAAATATATTTTTTTATTTGATGTTCTTTTTTGTTTCTTAATTTAATTTTTTTTTTTAATTTTTAGATGTTACAATTTCGAAAGATTTTTTATTTTAAATTTCACTTAATATTTAGGTACTTATTTTATCTATTTTTTTATGAAATTGTTTTCTTTTTTCAATTAATATTTTTTTTTGATTTTTGGATTTAATTGTGTAGAAAAGAAAAGTATTTTTTTTTCTTATCTAATGTAACTTTTACAAACATATTTTGTTTATTTCATATTTTCTTAATTTAATTTGTTTTTTTTTGTTGTAAATTTAAATTTTTTTCAATAATTCTAATATTCTATTGTTTAAAAAAGAAAAATAGATTCGTGTAATTTCATTAAATTTCTGGGATCTTATTTTTTATTTTATTTTTTGTCTTTTTTTATTTTATTTCATTTTAGTAATTTTATTCTATTATTTTATTCTTGTCTGGTTTTATTTTATTTTCTTTTGATTTTTAGACTTTGTTTTAAAAATAAAAATATATTTTTTAATTTTAGTTAATTATTAAATGCATATTTTACTCTTTTATGATTTACTGTTTTTTCTAATTTAATTGTTATATTTTATTGAAAAAAATATTTTTTAAATTTAATTTAATTTTAAACTTATTTTTAGCTACATTTTCTTTAATTTCTTTTATATCTATATAAATATATTTTTTAATTTAATCCAATTTTTCAAAAAAAAAAACGTATTGCTTAATGGCGAACAGCATAACGCTAAGACCTCCTGGTTAGCAGATCTTTCAATTAGTATTTCGAAAGACAGTAAAAAGCTTTGAAGATAGTTGCCAGAATTGACAATTGTCTCACGAACGTCTCTTTGAAAGACAGTTCCCTGAATTGCCGGAAATCTCTAATCAATTTTTGCAGAAGTATGATACCTTCTCGAAGACCGTTCTATTGTATTTATTAGCGTTATGTGGTTTGAACTAATTACTGATAACACAACTATCAATAATATGTAATAAGTAATGCCTTTATTACGAATTTCGGATTTTTTATACTCAATGTTTAGGTATTTTATAATTACTTGTCGTTTCTTTTGCTTAACTCAATTGTCGTTTTCCCACAAATGTTTAAATTCAATTCATTTAATTTGATTTCACTTCATTCCAAATACATATGTTTATTTATTCACATAAATAAAAGTCTCGTTGCAAATATTCGTAGAGTTCACACTTTCCACTCACCAATGTTCGGGCGTAAAACTGATGATAGTTTGTGCGAAGTAATGCATTGAGGACATAATATTTGTGTAACCATAGACAAGTAACAATACGAATTGATAACGTCCATAATTGCCACATTTCTCCAACAATGAATCGAAATCCATTTTATTTTATTTGTGTTCTTAATTTCCAGCTGAAATTCTAAACACGCTGCTAATAAAAAATACTATATGGTATTTTGGACGAAAAAATCAAAATAAAACTTTAATCCGATTTACCACGGGCGCTATGCGTCCTAATCAACAGCCGAAATTAGACTAGACACTGCAGTTTTTTTTCGGTTATGATCCGCTTGAAAGCGATCTTGAATTTGACCAAATATTTGCAAAAAAAGATAGCTCGAGCCGCGCGTTTTTGTACGTCCAACTTAGCTATGAATTTCTTTGCAGCTCAGCAAGTTAGCTTTACATACATATGTATGTAAATAGTAGCCAACCAGCGCGGATCTAATTTAAGCTTGTGCTCGCTGCGAAACGGCAATAAAATTTGCCGAGCAACAGCTATTTGGCTCGAACGATTTTGGCGGGAATCTACATACATATCTGGGGGGCTTAGCTAAGCTTGACCAAAGCTTTGCTGTTTTGGGGTAAAACTAACATACACTCATACATGTGTACATATCTACGAAGGTTATGAGGATGCTAGCGTCTTTATCAAGTATTTTGAATACTAAATAGCAAGCAAAGAAATTAATACTTTTCTCACTTCTTGAGGCGCGATCCATGTAAAGGCACTAATTTGCTAAATTATTAACATCACGAGCATTTTAAAAACTGGTTTATTGAGATTTACATACATCAATAAATAGGTAGTTGTGATGATGTGAGTCGACCGACATTTTGGTAAATATTTATATGCGTGTATTAGCATTATGTCTGCGTACATATGTATGTACTTACCCAAAAAACATTTGAGTTAGACATCAAGTCCAGATCCAATTCAAATTCCTAGATCCAATGTAAATTTTCAAATGTACCTCAATTGGAGAGCAAAATAGTCTGAGTTCTCTACGGGAGAAAAGCTTGGATATCAACTTGACTTCAAACTTTATTCAACTTTTTTTTCAAACCTTGGGAAAAAGAATGAATTTCTCAAAGATTGGAAAAAAGTTGGAAAAATGTTTGCTTTGCGTATATTAGGTACAGTTTCTATGCGCTCACTCACCCTTTACTGAGGGCTTTATGGGGTTATGAGATCACAAGCTGTTCTGCAAACAAACGCCATATAAAACGCAACGAAATCTGTCGAAATGACGTTTTTATTTTTAATCGCATAACTTTAACCGATTTTATAATTCTTTTAAGTGATTTCTATTCTATTATTTTTTTTTAGGGGAAAGGCGGTACGTCAGAGGTGGTCCCATACTAATTTGCTTTAGATCCGATCATTGGATCATGAAGAAATTAACGGTAGTCTTAAATTTTTATTTAAGAATTTAAGTCGGTTTTGTTTTTTGCTTAAAAATTACTCGTCATTATGTACCAAAAAATGTCGCCATTAGTTGGCCCCTTTCTATTTTCGTATTCGATTCGAAAATAAGGCAAACGGTGCGAAAATGTTGTGTTCGTTTCTGAAGATGTCATACTTATGTAAGGCAAAAAAGGTATATTCTCTACCCATTGAAGCTGCGTCCCTGTAGATTGTTGCCCTGAAAATCAAATGGTTACTTAAACTCATAACCTAGACAAGAATAAGTGGCAAAAACATGCACTTCTTACAGGGTTGAGTGTAACATCAAACACATTTTGCACCAAGGAAGAGCAAAACTTTTTTAAAGGAAAGGAAATACCATTTGTCCGATGAAGTAAACGAGTCTAACTTCGAGCCGCGGCGAGACCGTAGTTTCAGACACGCTAAAGATGGCTCAAAGCTAAACGAAAAGTGGGTAGTGTGATTTAATCTGGTGAACTCGCACTAAAACCCAGTTTCTGCTTACTGGTCCAAAGTAGCCATAGTGGAATCTGAGAAAATCGTAAGAGCTTTATGAATGTGAAAAATATCATTAGCAATGGGTTTAAGTTAGCTTAATTTGGTGATTAGTGAGGCGCGCACTGCTGACTCGTACTTCCACTCGGGGACATATTTATCCATTGTGAATACCCTCTGTGAGTGACAAGAGGAGGCACATCCTTCTAACCGAGGTTAATCCATAATGTCAGTATGAAGTCTCTCAAATAATTTACTATCCCGGATGAAACCGTGGATGTTCGATATTTTCACCTCCGCTATCTCCCCCAAGCTATTGAAAAAATGTGATCCCAAATCCTTGAGACGCCTTATCTGTAGAGAACGCGTCTACATAAGAAGTGGTGAATAGATTCGCCTACACCCTCATCCCGACACTGCAGTTATCAGGCAGTTTGATGGTCCTTGGAGTACAGACACGAGCCGACTCCTTTTTCCACCTTAGAGCCATGGGTGCAGATGGAAATACCATTATTTACCGACAGGAGGCCACACTCCTAATCGTACCGGGTTGGAAAGGGTATGGAAATCTTAAAACTAAAATCCCAGGAGTAAGNATGGAAATACCATTATTTACCGACAGGAGGCCACACTCCTAATCGTACCGGGTTGGAAAGGGTATGGAAATCTTAAAACTAAAATCCCAGGAGTAAGTGAGGTAATCAATTTCGACATCTAAGTCGACCTTGATTCCGTTACGCCCCCCACTATTAATTACCTTCAGGACCGCTCGTGCCCGTAGTTCATCTGCTCCCACAATTTTTATTCTCTCAGTTTAAGGGCCCCTTTGGCGGCTGCACCTGTTACGAATACTTTTCTTGGCTCCAGGTAAAAGATTATGTTCAGCCTTCTTGTGAATCAGACTGTAGCTAACGAAAATGGTTCAAAAATATTGTTATTAAGCCAAAAACTACAAAAAAAATCTGTTAATTTCCACAGATATGAAACTATTTTCGACATACAAAAAGCAAAAATTTATTTAAATGTACCTATTCGCATACATATATGTACATATGTACACGTGCATAAATATCCCAGTGAATCGCAAATTGTCTACGTCAATAAATGAAACGAATCAATTCAAGTACCACACAGCTAAAAAAACCAAGAAAAAAGAAAATTAGCACAGCCTTCCTCATACTCACGCGAACTGCATGTGCCAAATAAAATATATATAAACATTTAAGAGCATTTGTTTATAAATAAATTTAGCACATACTCGCGTAGAGTAGCAGAAGTTAGACATATGTATGTATGTGTAGCCATTGAGATATCAAAGAAAAGAGGTTTTGATGTGAAAGATACAGCTGAAGTGGAAAGGTCCAAATGGCAAATTTAGACACTCGATAATTGATTGCTCGAATTTATGGCGAATATATTTTACAAACCCTTTTGATTACGCTGATAATTTGCGCGTTACTATTTAGTATTTATTTTTAAATAATATTTTTTTTTTGTATGTAAAGGGTGATTCAAATTCATATGCCATATATCAATTTATATTTTTGTTCATAGAATTGCTTTTTTGATAACAGATGATAATAGAAACCGTTCAACATGCAATACGATCACATCTAAGATTTATGTTATTGACTATCTGAGGGAGAACGAGAGACCAGGTTTAGAATTGAAATAGAGATACATATTTATATAGATTTGTTATTGATTTATTGCGAACTCTATTGGAGGACTTTTGCTCTACGTGCCGAGAGCTAGTGTGCAATGGGCGGAGATTTATTTAGGCTGCAGGCAGACGTGTTTAGTCAATGGCTATCATAAAGATGCCGCCACTCAAGCGCTCATGTAGAGCCCCTGTTGGCCAATGAAAATGAAATAATCTTTTAAACAAATATCAAATTGTATTTTTGTTATCCAAGTTTTTCAAACGACATCCTGATGCGGTTAGTAATCAGTTGTCGAAATCTCTAAACTGACCTTTATTGAGATACCAGTTCAAGATAAGCTGGCAAGTTTGCAAAGGCATTACAGTCTCTGGACAACCCTGCATTGCCCATTTAATGGCATATTTCTTTTTGGCTAGCACTTAGCGAGTCGTAAATTGGTAGCTGGTACAGCAAGGCTGAAGTGTATTAAAAATAGATTTTAGAAATTAATCTTTTACGCAAAAACATATTTGGTCTAAGTAGATGTTATTGAATTCATCTATAGTGGCAACAAAAAATATGGGTACACTGTGACTGTGACCTGCAGGAAGAAGCCGAGTAGATTGAGGTGTCAAAATGTTAACTACGCATTCGTTTTTCTACTCCGACTTAGATTTCTACAGTGATGCTACGCTCTCGTAGCGCAAAGACCAACAAATATTTTCTAACATTCTCAAGGTTAGACTGCAAAATATTGGTTGGGACACTTACGGGACACTGTCTTGCGCCATCGCCGCTAATTTAGGACCAGTGCAAAGAGTAAAGTGTAAAAGTGACGAGGAAAAACGCTAAAGGCACACTTTGACATCTCAACTTCCATTGTCTGGCTTTTGGCAGATCGCGCCTTCAGCCACCCTGGTACTGTGTACTTCTCCTCACTGCAAGATATTGCGAACCAAAACCAAAGAATTAGGTATTTGCTAAAACTTGCAAAAAGGTGCATTATGATTAGTATTCCTCCTAATTCTGGCACAACTAGGGACCAGCAATTGGTTTATGCGAATTCTTATGATCGGCAAAGCTAGCCTAATGTAAAATATATTTATCTTTAAATTACAAACTACGCGGCCGTCCTATAATATTTAAAAACTCCCCTTTCTAAATTCTAGAGAAACTTGTTGTGTTAAACTTATGTATCAGCTGAATTAAATTAAGTTTAGTTATGAAAAAATATGTAAGATTACATTAACTAATTTGACGAAGAAGATCAGAGACGGTCATTGACTTGCGGCTCATTTTAACATAATTTACTATTATTTGCCAGCTTTTTTCTAATTCAAAAATATTATTGCATTTTTTCTAAGTAAATTTGACTGAGGCTTGAAGTCTACAGATCACGCGAGTTTTTTTAGAATTTATAATATATGCAAATAAGTAGGTGAAACTACGCGTGTTTCAACAATAACAGATTGTCTATGCAAAATTTATAGAAACAAGTAGATTAACTACAAAGTTGTTATTAAGTGGTATCTGTA